ATATATATCTCGTTATATGAATTTTTAGCGAAAATAACATTCTCAACGATATACATTTGTTCATTTTAATGGCTGATGAGTCAATTTCACGCCTCGCGTAGTTAGCATTCTTCTCTCTCTCTTTTATGATTCAAAAGAACAAACGAAAATTTATTTAACGTTAAAATTTCGGTGGATTACGTGTCGATCCGTAAATTCGGAACGAAAGAGAGAAATAGGACAGAAAATGCTCGGACGAAAATTAATTTCAACTTGGTAGATTATTATTATTATTTCCTTTTCTTTTTTATTACTACTATTACTATTATTACTGTTACTATGTATTATTATTATTACAGTTATTATGTTATATACATTTACATGTCGCATCACGTTGATGAACAAGCATACCATACTCATTTTGTTTCATATTTTTGTTTTTTTTTCTATTTTCAGTGCGTATTGTACCTTTGGGCACTGAAACTGTGCCATCCCACGACACTATTCCTCCTCAGAGGTAACCATGAGTGTCGTCATCTCACGGAATACTTCACATTTAAACAAGAATGTAAGTAACTTTATACATATATTATCATTTTGCACACAAACGTAATAATTGTTAATAATTTTCTTTAATATATACATAAATTATATATAAATGAAAAATAATTCGTAGACTTTTTCATGCTTGATATATAAAATACAATTAAGATAAATAAGATAAGAAAAACGGGAAGTTTGAGAGAATGAACAGTGTTAAAATCGATAATACACCTCGATATCCAATAGGAAATGGAATAACGTTATATACACATACACATTCATATTTATCGGATGTCCAGTGACTTATGAACGGTGCAGTGAAGCATAAGTAACGCAAACTCACTCCTGTGTTTCCAAGTGTGTAACTCATACTAATTGTAAGTACGTTCCTAATTACCATCGCTCCAAGGCAAACATTAGCAAACATCTGGATTCCTCCTCCGATATACGCGTTGCATCAATTTCTGCGAGAGACTAATGCGCGAGTTTACGTTTAATACTACATATGAATACATGTACTCATACGTAAGTACGTATATACACATACATACACGCGTACACTCATATATATATATGTATGTAACTAGGGATATTATTCTACTTATTTCACTACGAGTATATATGTGTGTATTTATGTATTTTACTAATACACATGTATGTATAATAATTAACGACCACATATATATATATATGTGTGTGTGTGTTATGTGTATGCATTGTGTATTTGACGTATACGCGTGCAACCTAGGGGCAAATGTTAATCATGCGTTATGATTATCAGCGCGAAAAACTTTTTTTTCTCTGATCGATCGATTCTATCTATCGTTATGTTGTTTTTTTGGAAGGTTTTTTTTTGTTGTTGCAACGTCAACCCGTATTACCTCTATTACTACACATTTTACTCGTATTTTTATTGGTTTTCTTTTTTTGTTTTCTTCTTTTGTTTTCTTTTTTCAAATTTGCAGTACAACTTTTTTGTCATGATTTTTTATTTTATTATATTTATATTTATTTATATAACTTGTACGTATATAGTATAGGCAAATTTAAGAGGATTGATCTAAATATTACTGTTCATTTAATTTCATTTTTTAGTTAATAAACGAACTCAACACCAATTGTAAACGTTAATTCTAATTAAAATGTAGATCTTATTTATGAATGAAGCTACTATCGTAATTGAAAATGGTAACTATCATTTATTCTCGGATATGAAATCGAATTATCCTATTACGTGTAAATATATAAATATATTTGTAATACATATGTAAATGTATATCATGGGATTCGGAATACTCTAAAACTTGAGGAATACGTGTCCTACGAAGTTTACCTATGTTTAAGTAGATCAGATTTGTCAAAAACAAGTAGTAGGAACTTTGAAATCTAGTTTTGAATGGTTAAAGATAGTAGTAGGAGTAATGTAATTCAACGAGACGAAACTATCCAAAAAAATTCATTTGCTTTCGGAGCTTACCGAATCAATTTGTTATTTCCAAAAGTGTTCTGTTTCTTCTTTTTTTTTTTTTTTTTTTTTTTTCTTTATCGATAAGTAAACTTATTTTATCTGTAATACAAATCAGCAGGACCTTCATCCTAATTTCACCCTATCGATAATTCCACCTTAGTTTCGGTTATCGATCTTACAATTAATTTTGATTGTCTACCGATCACGCTGGTTAAACAATATCCTACTGTACATATATGTATTCGATATTAGTTTAGTGTTCAAATAAAAATTCACAAATAGAAAAGAAAAAAAAAGAAAATGAAAATGAAAT